AAATCACTGACACCATCCTGCCGCGTCACAGAGCGCCATTCACAGCTTTTCATTAAAATTACATTATATTTGTCCCAAATCTATGTTAATGTACATATTCACCCTATAGCGAAACATTTGTCTTTCTGTGGCTGTAATGAAGTCTGTATGTTTATAATATAGATCACACTTTCTCTTTCTGTTTGCTGTTTTATTAAACACTGAACTTCAAACTCTATGCCAATTTGTTCATTCGTTCACCCGTTAGGTGATTAAATAAACTGCCGCTTGAATTGTGCTTTTGCCCGGTGTGTGACTAATATACTTTGATTAGATAATCAAGTGTTCTAAAATAGAAGCAAATAAAGTGTGAGAGTACACATACAATCTTCATATGTATGTCATTTCAATGCTATGGCCTTTGTGTAGATATTTGTAGATGGCCATCTTTAAGCATGACTGTTGAAAGGAAATGGTAACACTTTACAATAAGACTCCATTTGTAACATTAACAAAGGCTGATAAAAGCTGTAGTATTGTTCCTTGTTAGAGTGTTATTTCAACATTTACTAATGCATTTTTAAATTCTAAAGTTGCTTCTGTTAACATTAGATAACGAACAATTAACTAACTTGAATGATCAATATATAATTAATGTTAATATTTTTTTTTTATTTACAAAGTATGGTTCAGTACCGTTTTTTTAATAGTAAAGCACTATTTTAGTTTTTGTTTAGTATCAATTTTAAAAACTATTAATCGGTAACGGACAGTGTGGTCCTACCTATCAGTTTTACTAAAGGTGGTTCGTTTTTTTACATAATGAGTTAGTCACACAAAACTTCAGATGGCAAACAGGGGAAACTGTGCATGAGTCAGTGGGGGTCAAATATTTGAGCCAAACACAGACCAAATGTTGACTGACCTTGTATAAAATTGGTTCACAAAGCAGACAAATTGTCCTGCATTCAAACACAGCTATTTAAAGACTAAAAATCAAAATGGCAGGTTTTATGGTCAGCCTCCCACAGTCCACCACAGCAGTGCACAGAATTTAAAGTAAGAACTTATAAAAAACCAAAAGTAAAGTATTTAATCAGATTTAATAAAACACACCTAAATTATCACTAGAAAGTTATCTGGAAAATCCAACTTCTCGTGAGTCATTATTGTGACAAAACGTAAACCATCAAGAAAAAAACATGCCAAAAAACTCCACAAAAAATGAACTCAATAACACAAAAAGGATTTTAAGTCATTAGATATCCCTTGGAGTACAGTTAAATCAATAATTAAGAAATAGAACATGGATGGCACAGCTGTAAAACTATCTGAGTCCATGTCGGTATAAACTGCATGGGAGCAAAGGCTTTACATTTATTAATTCCGGTTCCAAAGAGCACTGAACCACACCTGACTTATTGATCTCGGAGCATCTGGAAAAGCAAGGAAAACCAGTTTGATCCCGTTATAATTTTTAAGTCAACATGAAATCCAAATGTTTACCCTATTTACTTTCTTGTTACAAAATCTTGATGTTTTCAGAGCATGTGAGAAAGTCAATTTTAGTTATTATTCATGAGTTTATTATTCGAGTTGCTTCCATGACAACATAATTTGTAATCTGATATGCCTATTTACATTTAAACATCATCCTATGATAAAGTCCAAGTCAGTTTAGTGGAACACTGAGGACTGCAGAAAAACAACAGCACAATTCAATGAAAGCACAAACAGAAACTCACCTGGGTATTCAATCTGAAACCCTGCAACGTCTGCATACAGGACATGTAACCATCGCACAGAAATGTGCTTTTTTACGCTCCAGCCTCATATGAATTAATCTCTCCAGCCTTTGACCTGTCCATGCATGCTCATTTGTCTCAATAACCCTTCTTTTTGCTGCGTTAAGAATATTTATCATCATATTGTGATATGGAAACAGACATGTAGAAGATGTAATTCCTAATGGAGAGACAAAATCTATTCAAGGTCCTGCACCTTTCACAGACCTTATCGGTTGAAATCAGGAACTGCTGATTAGGTAGATCAAAGTCCACTATTGTTGACTTCAGCACTTCCCTCCACTCTCAGCAGCCTAAATCAGGGGTTTTCAATCTTTTAAATAAATACCACTAATTTGACCATCCTTGTGTGAGCGACATCCATCCAATGACATCTATATTCATCTTCGTATAAAGATTTAATTTATATTGTGAAAATGTTATGCTAAAAATGTGTCTAAAACATTATTTGGAAAATATTTAGTTATTTAGTACCTTGTTACTTTTTCCCCTTATTCATCATAGTACTGTATTTATGTATTTATTTACTCATTTAATTTTAAACACATTTTTATTTAGCATTTACTCATTTATTTTAATCTCATTTTTATTATTTACACAATCTATTTTATCTAATGTTTATTAATTTATTTTAATCAAATTTTGAATTGAATCTTATTTTTTTTCTATCCATCACAGTACTGTATTTATTTATTTACTAATTTCTTTTCACCTCATTTTTATTATATACTTAATCTAATCTATTTGTAATCTATTGTTCATACATTTATTGTAATCTAATTCTTGATTATTTTAATCTTACTTTTTATTGATTACAGAACTGTATTTATTTATTAATTTACGCATTTCTTTTAACCTAATTTTTATTATTTACTCATTATCATGAGTATTATTTACTCATTTATTTTCATCTATTTATCATCTAATGTTTATCCGTTCGTTTTAATCTAATTTGATTGTTTTAATCTTATCTTTCTATTCATCACAGTACTATTTTTAATTTATCTATTTATTATTTTTCTGTAAACATTTCTATAGACCCTCAGCACTTATTTGTGACCCCTTGGGGGTCCCTGATCCCCAGTTTAAAAACCCTGGTCTAAATGTAGCTAAAGATCAGTGGCCTAGCCCTAGATAGACTAACATCATGCCTTGCCGAGGGAATTGATCAAACCCTATGAAAAAAGTCTGTGGCGTGATTTCAACACAAAAGTAAAGCAATCTGAAACCCTGCAACGTCTGCATACAGGACATGTAACCATCGCACAGAAATGTGCTTTTTTACGCTCCAGCCTCATATGAATTAATCTCTCCAGCCTTTGACCTGTCCATGCATGCTCATTTGTCTCAATAACCCTTCTTTTTGCTGCGTTAAGAATATTTATCATCATATTGTGATATGGAAACAGACATGTAGAAGATGTAATTCCTAATGGAGAGACAAAATCTATTCAAGGTCCTGCACCTTTCACAGACCTTATCGGTTGAAATCAGCAACTGCTGATTAGGTAGATCAAAGTCCACTATTGTTGACTTCAGCGCTTCCCTCCACTCTCAGCAGCCTAAATCAGGGGTTTTCAATCTTTTAAATAAATACCACTAATTTGACCATCCTTGTGTGAGCGACATCCATCCAATGACATCTATATTCATCTTCGTATAAAGATTTAATTTATATTGTGAAAATGTTATGCTAAAAATGTGTCTAAAACATTATTTGGAAAATATTTAGTTATTTAGTACCTTGTTACTTTTTTCCCCTTATTCATCATAGTACTGTATTTATTTATTTATTTACTCATTTAATTTTAAACAAATTTTTATTTAGCATTTACTCATTTATTTTAATCTCATTTTTATTATTTACACAATCTATTTTATCTAATGTTTATTAATTTATTTTAATCAAATTTTGAATTGAATCTTATTTTTTTTCTATCCATCACAGTACTGTATTTATTTATTTACTAATTTCTTTTCACCTAATTTTTATTATATACTTAATCTAATCTATTTGTAATCTATTGTTCATACATTTATTGTAATCTAATTCTTGATTATTTTAATCTTACTTTTTATTGATTACAGAACTGTATTTATTTATTAATTTACGCATTTCTTTTAACCTAATTTTTATTATTTACTCATTATCATGAGTATTATTTACTCATTTATTTTCATCTATTTATCATCTAATGTTTATCCGTTCGTTTTAATCTAATTTGATTGTTTTAATCTTATCTTTCTATTCATCACAGTACTATTTTTAATTTATCTATTTATTATTTTTCTGTAAACATTTCTATAGACCCTCAGCACTTATTTGTGACCCCTTGGGGGTCCCTGATCCCCAGTTTAAAAACCCTGGTCTAAATGTAGCTAAAGATCAGTGGCCTAGCCCTAGATAGACTAACATCATGCCTTGCCGAGGGAATTGATCAAACCCTATGAAAAAAGTCTGTGGCGTGATTTCAACACAAAAGTAAAGCCTTGCATATGAGATCTTACCCGAGGCATGCACTTCACTGTAACACTGTTCACTGCTACATGCCAGCAAATACAATCCTGACATTTACCATGAGAGTGCGTGTAAAAATCACTGTTTACACCAGTGACTACAACAAAGCCCTGATCCTGCTGTACTCTCTCCAAATAAGTGGGCGTTACAATATAAACACTAGAGGAAATACCACACACCAATGTTATCTCGGTTCCTTAAAAGGGAAAGCATCATTTTAAGTATCCCTGTGCTCTTTAAAGGGGAAAAAACTGCTTTCCTCTGGCATAAACCTTGTGAACAGTGAAGCATCACTCACATTATTGCAACACCAAACAAGTGATACATTTCAAAGCTAAATTATGAGTTTGATTTTAAACACTTGACTTCCATAAAGGCTCGATCTTAATACAAAATAAGGAGATACGAACAGTGAATCGTAAATGCTTATAGTTGTCAACTCTTTGCCAGCATTTAGCTTAGCCAGCCAGCAAATACAGCACAGAGGAGCTCACAACACAACAAATATAGATACTTCTAAACAGATAAACGATAAAACATGCGACTACATATTGGAGTTACTCTCTACTGTAAATCGAAACTAAAAAGCAGCGTAAAGTGCCCCATTAGCTTCGTTACACAGAGCTAAGCTAATATAACCGCATAGTCCCTGCTAATGCTTCTTCGTGGTATGGAATACATAAAAGTGGATTTCTTACCTTGAAAAGCTGACTTTCCAAATGAAACCCACACTCTGTGCTTGTTTGGTTTACACAAACTTAAGAAACGCTGAGAGTTTGGTGGCTGTGGTGGGTAAGAGTCCGTCAGACTGTGGCCGTTAGCGGCTAAGCGCTAACACACCTGATCATTAACGTTACATACACACATATATACGGTTTAAAGCGACACACTGAACTACACTGACTGATGGCCCGCTAACACAAGACCCCAATCCAAGCCAACTCAGTCCCTTACAATGCTCGAGCAGAGAAGACATGGAGGGGATGTGTTTGCAGACAGTAGATCCAGGTCAAAGTCATGATGTAGTACGAATGACAACGAACGAACGAACGAACGAGAGAGAGAGAGAGAGAGAGAGAGAGAGAGAGAGAGAGAGAGAGAGAGAGAGAGAGCTGCACGGTGCACACCCTCAGAAACCAGCTATTGCCTTGATCTTATATATATATTAAATCTTAAGTTTTATTCAGTTCTTAGCACCTTATTTTAATAATTTTTATTGTTATTTGTTATATGGTATATTTATTTTCCTTGTCATTACTTGTCGTTTTGGCGATATGGTATCATGCCAATAAAGTACTTTTAAATTGAAATCGAAAAGTCAGAGATAGTTAAGCCACAAAACGAAAAGTGGACATTCTTGTCACATTCTTGTGGGGTAATATAAACCATTTAAAAAGTAAAAACAAAAACATATATATATATATAATATATATATATATATATATATACACATTGTGCAACAGCGACACCAGGAGGTAAAGTTACAGCAGGAGTCCGCATCACTCTCGCCTCCCCTGAGCCCATTGAGTTTTAACAGATCCCCTAAAGCGTGTGGGGAGTTTGGTGGGGGGTAATTGAGATGAATGGGGGAAAATCATGTGAGAGAGCGAAGGCAATACCTCCATCGGTATATGACTGGATCTGACTGGTTATGTTTGGCTGTGATTGGTTCATGCGATAAATACCGCCTCTTGTGTTCATGCGCGTTCCACTTTCGTGAATCAGTCTGAAATGAATGAACAATTTGGCATTAACGGGAAGACTCATTTTATAAAATAAGTAAACAACTCACATACTTAGATATAACCACTTTGTTACGTCAAAATAAGACTTGAAATAGTCTGAAAACATGATCTGTGGGAGTTTTTAGTGAGTAATCAGCCTGGTAAAATTTTAAATAAATCTCTATGTCTGTGACCAATATTCACCGAGCTTTGATGACCGATGAACCGAATGATTAAAAAATAGTTAAAAGTTAAATATTAAAAATAGTAGCTGAACATACGTTCACAAATAAAATATATTATTTAAATCGTTACTGCGTTGAGTTATTATTTTGGAATAAATGTAAATGCTTAAAAACACTAACTTGATGAGATTCATGGCATTAATAAACAGAATATTGATTACATTGTTAATGTAAAAATATAAAATAGATTTTTTTTTCTGGTAGTGTAAGTAATGTTTATTTGACCAAGAACATGTGACTGGGACAGGAGTTTACATTTGATTAAAAAAAAAAATATATATATATATATATATATATATATATAAATGTTACCAGGATTGATGCCATACATATCTGGTAACAATTATTTAACCATATTAATATTCACGTTCTCGCTTTATTGCACAAATAATGCCTTTCTTGGTCATTTTATGTGTTTTTCTTGTATATTGACAAAAAAAACACATACATGTAGCGCCACCTGCTGTTTGACTTCTGATATAATTAAATGCATACATTGATACATCATTTCTATTGTAACAATTATAACAATGTCAAACACAAATTCTTTTATGTGGAAATATATATAGGTTAATGATAAAATTCTGATTCTACCAGGAAATTTATAAGATAAAATGATGTCTGAAAAACTATTTTACAGTGGATTTCTATAGTCAGTAAAACGAATGTAGCCTATATGTGAAATAACATAACAGGTTTATTGTTTCACTAATATCCATAATAACAATGATATGGATTTGAATTATGTTTTCAATAGCGACTTTTCGACAGTTTAATGATTGTATGATCAGATGTCTGTATTTGCTTTCGATAACTAAAAATATTGAACTATGTGATCATTAGCACTTTAGGCCTACAGTGAATGCCCTGTACAGTAAATGACTGAAAGAGTGATAGAGTATATTCATTTATTTCAAAATGAATAATTTATATGCATAAAACTGAGTTTTTACTATGTTTGTTAATGCATTAACTATAATGTTAAAATAAAATAACTAAATTACATACATATTTGCTTTTGAATTGAAAATCACACCATTGACTCTTGACTGAGTCCACCAACGTTCTAAATCAGGGGTGTCAAACTCAGTTCCTGGAGGGCCGCAGCCTGCAGAGTTTAGTTCCAACCCTGCTCCAACACACAAACCATGTAGTTTTCAAATTAGCCTGAAGGACTTGATTAGCTGTATCAGGTGTGTTTAATTAGGGTTGAATCTAAACTCTACAGGGCTCCGGCCCTCCAGGAACTGAGTTTGACAAGCACAAGCAGAACGCCATTAAAAGTGGGTGAAACTCTCTCATGCTCAAAGTTAGTCTTCTCTCCACTACACTTCACATTGGATTGGACAAATGGAGACCTCCACTCATCACAGCATCTGAAACATCCATACTGGACCGGGATGCTGCTTTATATCTCCTGCAGCAGTGGCCACCTACGGAAGACTGGATGGTCTCTGTGTTCATCTTCATGTGGGATTGCTGTCCTGGATGGTGCTGGGGTGGTGGTGTCCCACCACACCATATCTGTGGAAATGACCCACGGCGTCAGGTAGTGTGGCGCCCTCACTTCCTCAGCGCCCTTGACCAAGTGAAGGCTGGTGAAAGTTCTCCCATAAGCATAGACATGCCACTTGGGATCTCCTGTCCAAATATTTTCGCTTTAAAATAAAAACTATATGTATGTATATCTGTGTGTATATATACATATATAATTATTATTATTATTCCACAAATCTAAAAACATGAATGTGTTCCCAAATCCCTCACACTGAAAAAAAAATGTTTCATTCATCCAATTAAAAAAATTTAGGGTAATGATTCACATCTATATTTTTTAACTTGAGCCAATGAAAAATAAATAACTTGCCCTTTTTTTAATTGGATGAATGAAAAAAAAAATTCAGTGCATTAACATAACACAACACCTTTGATATTCAACGTAATTCAGTGTCGCTAATTTCCAGAGACACAAAATCTACACAAAACTGCCTTAAGTATAGCCAAATCTCACAAATGTTGTTTTTCAGATTACAGTTTTGTTTTTTAAATTGTTCAGAATTTCTGAAACTATGGCTCCTCTTCTCTAAACTCATGCACACAAAACCACAAACATGCAAAGCATTACACATCGCTTACAAAAGTACGTTTTTGAAGTTTTAATTCTTATAAAATTGTTTTTGCATAGTACTCAAACATCAAATGATTAGCCATATACACACCAAATTACACACGGATATGACAAATGTAAAACACTACTATCTTGTATTTTTTGTTTGTTCATTGTGCAGTGGAGCACACAGGAGTCTATCAGCACTCACACGTACATGTAAAAACTACACTGTATAGTATAGTCTATGTACAACTGATGAATTTTACAGTTATTAAACTGAGAAACTGAACTGAATAAACACTGAACTGACTTAAGCAGTATAATGACACTATTGACTTGTTAGAGCTGTAAGCTGTAAAACTGTAAATGACAAAACTAAGATCATAGTAATTCACTAAATGTGAGATTTTGTGTCATCTATGGTCAGTTAAGGTAGAGGGGTCAACTTACACCATCTTACCATACAATTTTGAGGTGGAAACACAAAGTAAATCAGAGTTTTTTTCATGACTATAACAGCAGTATTGTATGGTAACTTGACTGTATGTATTGCGTAACAGATTTCACTCGCTTTCAGTGTCTTCACTTCAGGCTTGTGCCATGGTCATTGTAATATTTCCACTTTCAGCAGCTGTGGAAAAAAGAAGCAAACATGACTGAATGTCTAAAACTAATGTCCAATTAAAAATAAATAAATGAACTCTACTTCAGAAATATGTGTGCAGTCTGAATTTCTACATCACAATACTTGTTTGGGTAACAACCTGGTCTAAAGGGGGTCCTTAAAGGAATAGTTCACTCAAAAATAAAACATAATCTATACATATTTCTCTCCTGGTTCTAATGAGACTTTTTCACAGGAGAAAGCTATATTATGGATGGAAGACTTGTATGTTAGTTGGAAGAAACAGTTTGAAGTTAAAAATGTTATAATGATGATTTGTTTATTACAAACACAAAGCTTTAGACCTCACAAGGCATTAATTGATTGACTGGAGTTGTGTTCGTTACTTGTGAGCTATTGTGATGTTTTTATCAGTTGCTTGAACTCTGTTCCGATGAAGAAACAAACTCATCTACATCTTGGGTGTCCTGCAGGTTATATTACACACACACATTTATTTAACATACAGAATGTTCGGGTCCACTGGACCCGGGGCTAAAAAAAATGTACAAAAAAAATGGAATTTGTAGGTCCTGTGTACCTTCACTCTGTCATACACAATACGGTGCTATTCTACAAGTGTACACAATATACAGAAATACTAAATATTAAGTAAATACACTATGACGATTTGCTTATATATTTCATTTACAGTTCATGACGTAAAGGAATCAAACATTGCAATGAAAATAGCACTGAATTCAGACTCAAAAATAATCATATTTTAAAAGCTTTATTTAAGGAATACAAATATTTTGTCAGTTTTGAAAACTGCAATCAACTTCAGTTCTTACTTGGTAGAGCCTAAATTCAAAAACAGCATCAAGATTAAGAGCAAATGTCTCCAGTGCCATGACATGTAAGTGACACTGGCATTATGTTTCCATGATAGTTCAAATTTTAAGAGATATTTAAGATAATAATAAAAAAAAAAGTAAAAGGCACAGTGGATTTCCTCCATCCCAATAACTGAGAAAGAACATTCACAGGTAGAAAAACAATGGTGAATCATAAAAAAGTGATCTCCCTTGAAGGAAGAGTTGCTTATTAGGCCACAGGGATTTTGAATGCATGTGCAGAAAGGCACCTCCAAAAACATGTAAGACACATTTTATTGTAGGTATCAGGATTGGGCAAAATTCAGAATCGAAAACTTGGCCACCCTAAAGTCAATCAAGTGTTCTTCTACCCTATAAGAAGAATTATATATAAATGAATTATTCACTTTGTCCACTTTGTTTTTAACCAAATGCGCAACGCTTCCGGTGTCAGCCATTTCTAGTTATCTTAGCTGTACAAAACAGTCCTTTATCATATTATTTTAATTTATTTGAAAAATATTCATTTATTTTAGTTTTACTGTTTATTGCAATTTGTTATTCTTCTAGTTATTTACCTAAAGCGGCTAAAGATGGTTAGGTGACATTTCAAACAGATCTATGTTTGTTTCTCTGTCTGTCTATAAGGCTGAAATGAATGAAACTTTGTCAAGTTCTACAAGCCATCGCTTAAAGTTTGTCTTGATTAACTTTCTTTTTCTAGTTAAAATTACAGTTATTGCACTTACATAAATTCCTTTGACTTTCGGTCCATTTTAATTCTACTTCCTTAAACACAATTCTGCATGCTGTTTACTATCTCAGTTCAAATTCAATTCAATACCATTGAAATAGGAACTGACCTGGAATGTAAAAAGCATTCAGTTCTGAAGGACGCACAAACCTACTTATCCATAAAATATTAGCATGTTCTTGTTGACAGTAAAAGTCATTGTCAATATGAAGCTATTTAAGAAAAATGTCTCCATGCACACGTATGAGACACAATATGTTATACTGCAGGGACACAGTATTACAGCAGGCACATCCACTGGATGTGAAGGAGGAGATGTTAAAAAATCATATGCGATTTACATTAGATATTCAAGCATCAAAACACAGACTGGGATAATAAAACCTCAGTTTGGAATTGAAAAGCATTGCCACTGATTTTTTGGACTTCATCAACCTCTCCTCCTCCTCAACTGTGGGATTAGCACCCTGTGGAGTTCAGAAGGGACACTTCTTTTTGTGCAGAGGACACAGTCAATCAGTTAAAAGGAGCACAAAAATGGGAGTCTCTAAAAGTTAATGCAGCGTTCCAAGGTGGGTTGGGAAGAATCATATATCTAGACTGCTGGGGATTCAGACTGCTTCCTCAGCAGAACACGCCTCACCGGTTGTCTCAGCACTTGGAGAAGCAGCCTCAGCAGCAACATCCTCAACAACAGGTGCAGTAGGTTCCTCAGCATCAGCTGCTACTGCCTCTACAATGGTAGTTGCTGCCCCAACATCCAGTGTTGCATCCACAGGTTCTGAGGTCTGTTCAGCCTCTGCATTAACCACCTCAATGACGGGTTGTGCTGCTGTGGCCTCAACAACTGTGGCAAGTTCAGCTGCTGTGGTTTCCACAACCGCAGCTGCTTCTGCTACTGAGCCCACCTCGGCCACTGCTCCTAAATGGAATACAGTGAGCAGGACTTCAAGAAAAGGCAACATGATCCAAAGAAAATCCAAGATCAAGTGTGATTAAAAAGTTAAAGCAGACTTAGGAAATGTGTTCTTATACTAAATGAAGAGGGTTAGCATCAAGTGTTGCTAAACCCATCTGTCATTAATAGAACAACAGAGAGATTATGAGAACTGGACGATGCACACATAGATAGCGGAAACCATTCAGTAAGATTAGACTTCAAAGAGTCCAAGTTCTTAGAGTTAGCATTAGAAACTTTTTGGGGAGCTCAAAGTGAACCATACCTCAAATTAGATTGTAAAGAGCCTGCATGGATGCTCAAGATAATGTAGACCCATCACCAAGCAAACATCAAAAGCAGTGATGAAAAAAAAATCAGTAAAAACAATAATATTTTGAAATATTATTATAATGTAAAATTACTGTTTTAATGTATCTTACAATTTAATTAATTCCTTTGATGGCATCATTACTCCATACTTCAGTGTCACATTATCCTTCAGAATTCATTCTAATATTCTGATTTGCTGCTCAAGAAACATTTCTTATTACTTTCAGTGTTGAAAACAGTTGTGCTGCTTAATATTTTTGTTTCTCCATGGGGTGAAAGTTCAAAAAGTACAGCATTTATTTGAAATCTTTTGTAGCATTAAAAATGTCTTTCCTGTCACTTTTGATCAATTTAGCTTAAAACGTAAAGAAAGGAAAAAATTGTATGTAGTGTAGGTTTATAGCATGTGAAAGTCACTCTGATGATAATATGAAAGCACTTTTACCAAGCTCAAAGTTCCAAGGCTGTCATCAATCTTTGAATTGCCACAACTTAAAGGAACGCTTTACATGAATCCATTCAGCCGATCTCCGGTTCTTGCGGTAGCACTTTTAGCTGCAGCTTAGCATAGATCATTGAATCTGATTAGACCGTTAGCATCTCGCTCAAAAATGACCAAAGAGTTTCTATATTTTTCCTATTTAAAACTTGACTCTTCTGTAGTTACATCGTGTACTACACTCTTAAAAATAAAGGTGCTTCATGATGCCATAGAAGAACCTTTTTGTCTAAATGGTTCCATAAAGAACCTTTAACATCTGAAGAATCTTTCTGTTTGACAAAAAGTTATTTATGGCGAAAGAACGTTCTTCAGATTACAAAAAGGTAAGAAAGAGAATGGTTCTTTGTGGGACCAAAAATGGTTCTTCTATGGCATTGCTTGAAGAACCTTTTGAAGCACCTTTATTTTTAAGAGTGTAAGACCAACAGTAAATTTACTTTTTTTTTCTTTGTGACATGTGGCCAAGTATGGTGGCTCTGCATTTAACCCATCCAAAGTGCACATACACACACCCGGAGCAGTGGGCAGCCATTTATGCTGCGGTTCGATGCCTTGCTCAAGGGCACCTCAGTTGTGGTATTGAAGGCAGGAGAGAGCGCTGTACATTCACTCCCCCACCTACAATCCCTGCCGGTACGAGACTCGAACCCGCAACCTTTGGGTTATAAGTCCGACTCTCTAACCATTAGGCCACGACTTCCCCCCCAAATGAAAAGTTGCGATATTCTAGGCCGATATGGCTAGGAACTATACTCTCATTCCGGCATAATAATCAAGGAACTTTGCTGTGAATACAATGATATTATGCAGCGCCTGAAAATAGGCTAACTTCCGTCAACATAACCACTATTTTCAGGCGCTGCGTAATATCATTGTGCCTGCTGCACCCATGGTACGGCAGCAAAGTTCCTTGATTATTACGCCGGAATGAGAGTGTAGTTCCTAGCCATATCGGCCTAGAAAATAGCAACTTTTCATTTTCCGTCAGCCTTAGTACACGATGTAACTACGGAAGAGTCAAGTTTTAAATAGGAAAAGTATAGAAACTCTTTGGTCATTTTTGAGCGAGATGCTAACGGTCTAATCAGATTCAATGATCTATGCTAAGCTACAGCTAAAAGTGCTACCGCCAGACCCGGAGATTGGCTGAATGGATTCGAAAACGGTAAAACTCAACTGTTTAACTCTAGGGGAGTTGGAAAATGAGCCTATTTTCAAAAATTGTGGAGTGTTCCTTTAAACTGTCTGCAAACACTAAAAAGTTGTGCAACTAATATTGGAAAAGTGCTTCTATTCTGAGTTACGTGATACATACTGCAGCAGGCAAAACAAGTAAAATGGGACAGACCAAAATTTATAGAAAAGTTTTGTTATTGATTAATGACTGCATTTTCAATCATTCAAAAACAGACATGCTGCTAAGACAAATGCTAAATTTATACTCACCCTCCTCACCTGATGGGAGAACAAAAAGTAAGGTGGTTAGCAGCACGCAAACAGGAGAAGTAAATAAGTGAAAGCTGCTCTAAATGTAGCTAGCTTAGTGGCTGCTGAGTAACCTCAGAAATAGGATCAGGCCTGAGGAACTGCAATAACATGCACATACACATACCAGCAGCAAAACGTGACACCCTGCCTCACGGCACCCATCAATTCAATGAATCTAACAATGAAAGATCTCTGAATGGGAATCTAATCCCAGCTGTCTGTGTAAATTATTTCCACTTTACTGATGTTGAAAGATTAACTGTGATCTTTAACAGGCAAAATGAAAACAGGTAGCCATACACAAAAACAGCGCTATGCCACAAAAATAAAATAAAATAAAATAAAATTAAATTAAATTAAATTAAATTAAATTAAATTAAATTAAATTAAATTAAATTAAATTAAATTAAATTAAATTAAATTAAATTAAATTAAATTAAATTAAATTAAATTAATGCCTCACGGCACCCATCAATTCAATGAATCTAACAATGAAAGATCTCTGAATGGGAATCTAATCCCAGCTGTCTGTGTAAATTATTTCCACTTTACTGATGTTGAAAGATTAACTGTGATCTTTAACAGGCAAAATGAAAACAGGTAGCCATACACAAAAACAGCGCTATGCCACAAAAATAAAATAAAATAAAATAAAATTAAATTAAATTAAATTAAATTAAATTAAATTAAATTAAACTTACTTTTAGATCTGGCCTCGAGTTGAGCAATTCTTTCATTATATCTTGCACTGTCAGAGTTTATTGTCTTATAGGCCTGTAAGGAGGAAAAAGAGTTTAGATGAGGATAAATGGATGTTTTTGTTAAATTACAATATTAGCAACGTATTCTAAAACAGGATGAAGAAATAAAAATTACATACATAAACAAGAGCAGCAGTAAGCGAGCTTCCACCAAGTACCATGTAAGCTATGTTTGTGCCGGACGCAGGTAGACCAAAGGACATCTGTCGTGTAGGGAACACAGCTATTGAAAGATAAAGGGAAACACTTGTCAGTACATGCAAATGAAGTCTCTTTTCCTTGACCACCCATCAATCCAATTTTGAAAAATGAAAATCCAATGCAAAAACTACTAACTGTATAAAGCCTACTGTATTGTATTTGATACACACATTTTTAAGGCCTCTAAATTATCAGCATAATCAAAGTAAAAAGCCTTTTAGTAAAACGTCTTTAGTATAATTTTAAACAGGTCCCCCTGGAGGTTGTGTGACATGTTTAGAATTAGAAATATTTCATATTTATCAAGATGAACACTTACTGGACTAAAGCAATGTCATTTAATTTGATTATCCATTCTTCATTTTTAAGAAAAATGATGTTAAAATGTGAGTATCAGATATGATACATCAGCCTTTTGAGGAACATTTATCTCTCAGTCATCATTATATTGCACTGCATTATGTTTTGCACCCATAAAACAACAAAGCTTTGATCATACAACTAAGCAGTTCAATTTTACTAAGACATTATTGGAAGATATAGATTGACAACTGATATGTATACATTTTTGTTGCTATACTGTATACCTCATTGATCTACATTACTAGATATCAGAATTTAATCATACCATTTAACCAGATAAACATCACATTTGTGCTCAGTTTGGACCTCTGAATAAAATGTAGATGTTTGTTTCTTCCTCAAGAATGTTCTCCATATTCTCCTATATCATATTATATGAGCCACAAAAGCATGATGTATCAAATATTATGCTCTTTTTTTTAGATTTTTAAAATATTTTATCTAAAGGTTCAATAAACTCTTCCATTTCATAACAATTACATTTTACTGACTATTATTTCATATGTTAGGCTTTACAGGTTTAATTTTAAAAACCAATCATCCAAAAAACAGAGTAAAAAAATAATAATTTCAATATTTATGACATAAAAATAATATCAGTTTTTCAAAAACTGCTACTGTCCCTCAGTTGTTGTAATGTTATTTTCACCAGTACCAGTAATTGTGCCACTAATAAAGTTGTATCAGAGAATTAGTTTGGTAAGTGGACATTTTAAGTAACATGCAAAGTTACACTGGACTAGACAAACCTGATGCAGCAAGCATGCGTTTTAGGCTTTTGTGTCTGTGCATGCATTTAGGCAAACACACATCCTCTGTGTAGCTGCAATGAAGCAGCAGAAGAGAACACAATGTCCAACAGTTAAACTGCCTCTCCAAGCCACTCTCTTAAAGCAACACTAGAGTACATGCACAGGACAAACTCACAAAATCTAGACTTTATATAGTTATTTCCAGTTTAACAGTTCAACATGTGCACAATCATGCTCTCTGAAAACAGTGAGAGCTTTACACATAAACACTGGCATAATGTAACACCACTTGGGTGGAGACAGCAGACATGTCAGTGTGCAGAACCCAAGGCAAATTCATGTTGGCAGAGAGCCCTGCATAGGGCCCTCTTCAAATATTTGGGGAGTTTTAGAAAATGCCTGAGCAGATTTTGTGAATACATCAGTTCAATCATGCACAAAATGCTGAGCCAGCTTAAACTGGCCCTCAAAGTTAAAGGTGACAGGAGATCATCAGATTTTAAAACAAAAATTACCAAAAAATGAAATAAAATAATTTGCACACAGTTCAAACTGAGTGAATCCTTCGGCAGGAAATGAACTTTAAACAGATCAAACTCAGCTATTTCCCACAGATGCACTGAGCGGGGAAAGGTTTACATGTCCCAGCTGTTTGTTATGGAAAACTCTGCATTAAAAACAAACTCAAAATTCAGAAAAATGCTAATATCAAACAAAATGAACAATGAAACACTCTTCTTAAAAAGGAATCACAACTTGCCTTAACAAATGTCACCACATTTGATTTACCACAAGATTCTATATCCTTATTCGAACTCAAATTTCTTCATTGGTAATTTAATTGAAATGAGCAAAATAATAATAATAATAATAATAATATGCAATGTCCTTATCAAGGCAAGGCAAGGCAAGGCAAATTTATTTGTATAGCACATTTCATACACAATGGTAATTCAAAGTGCTTTACATAAAATAAAATAAAAACAATAATCACAACAATAAAACAATAAAAATTATAATAAAAAAAAAAAATTGATTTAAGAGGTTTAAAATGAATTTAAGAAAACGATTATACATATAATATAGTGCAATCAGTTCGGACATTGCACAGTGCTCATTCAATAAATGCACAGCTAAACAGATGAGTTTTGAGTCTGCATTTAAATGTGACTAATGTTTTAGCACATCTGATCTCTTCTGGAAGCTGATTCCAACTGCGGGCGGCATAATAACTAAAAGCAGACTCCCCTTGTTTTGTGTGAAAACATCAGTGCAGGTTGTAACTTTAAAAATGAAAATTCAAAGTGCTTTACATAAAATAAAATAAAAACAATAATCACAACAATAAAACAGGGAATTTAAAAACTTTGAAAATTATAATAAAAAAAAAAATTTGATTTAAGAGGTTTAAAATGAATTTAAGAAAACGATTATACATATAATATAGTGCAATCAGTTCGGACATTGCACAGTGCTCATTCAATAAATGCACAGCTAAACAGATGAGTTTTGAGTCTGCATTTAAATGTGACTAATGTTTTAGCACATCTGATCTCTTCTGGAAGCTGATTCCAACTGCGGGCGGCATAATAACTAAAAGCAGACTCCCCTTGTTTTGTGTGAAAACATCAGTGCAGGTTGTAACTTTAAAAATGAACTAACAATCATAGAATAAATAAAAGCAGCAATTAAAACTGAATTTCCAGATTTACTTTGGAATGCAGGTTGCTGCACACATAATTGATTGATTAGCACTTTCCTACAAATTATGCAAATATGTTTAATAAATAATACCATATAAAACACTGTATTACAATAAATAATAATCATGAAAATAATCACACCAGTACAAACAATACCTTCTAATCATTGCAATACAAAAAATAAAACACTTACAATATACAGACTCTCTTCGAATATTCCATTACATAAAACACTTATGAGTCTCTTCCAAATGCAAAGACAAAAGAGGTTTCCAGTTTACTGATTTATGAAATCCCTATAAACAGACTTAATATTGGATGAATTTAATGAGCATATCTCACTTGTTGCATAACATAAATATCAGAAGGTAGAGCCATAAACTACTGATACACCTCCTAAAAGAGACCAATTAAAAGTGTCCAAATGTGTCGAATTAATTTTTCCAATTTCCATTTCATATTTCAAAGTATATGCACTTTTTGTTTTTTGGAACATGCTAATTTAAAAAAATTTTTTTTTAACACAACTCTCTTTTAGATTGCGAAGTGTAAGCTGGTGAATTTCATTTGCAAAATCGAAACTGCATTGAATATGGATGTAACGATGGATTGGAAATCGATGTTTTCTTACCATTGCTGAAAGGAGTGAGTGTTTTGCGTGCCAGAGGCGCAAGTCTTTGCCAAGCCACTCTGCAGAACATCATTATTCCCGCTGTGAGTCCGGAATCTGAGTCACTGAAAACTTCAACTAACAGAGTTACTTGCCAAAAGCGTGTCTCTCAAGCTGACCGACCCTTTTAAACTCCCTGTCACCTCCCTCTGCGTCACGCATGTGGTCCGAGAATAGCCTAAATATCTCGTTTACAGATTTAAGCTTAATATTTCGTATACCTGTGAATTTTGTGGTCAAGAAAAAGAAAGTATTTTGCATCTTTATTTTAAATTGTATTTACTCGAGATTATTTTGGAAGGATTTGGAATTCTGTATTAACCGAAAAATAGAGTGTATGATAGAAATGTGTATATTTGATGTACTTTTTTATACAGAAAACGAAAATTTGAATTGTAAAGAACAACATAGGCTATTATACATTTGTTTATTTTGTTAGGAAAATTCCATATACATATGAAGAAGTGGACTCAATGTAAACCAAATTTTGCACATTTTATAAATGACTTTAAATGATATGTAAATCTCTTAGAACAAACTTTTACTTTTACTTTTTACTTTTAGTCATTTAGCAGACGCTTTTATCCAAAGCGACTTACAAATAAGAAAAAGTAATTAAAACTAAAAGCTAAAAGCTTTAAAGAAAATAAATGAAGTTAAATAAAAATGACAAATGCATACAACAACATTTCAAAACAAAAACATTTAAATGAAAACAAAAAATAAAGCTAAAAACAATTCAAACATACACAAATAAGAAAAAGTTATTAAAACTAAAAGCTAAAAGCTTTTAAGAAAATAAAAGGAATTAAATAAAAATGATAAATGCATACAACAACATTTCAAAACTAAAACATTTAAATGAAAACAAAAAATAAAGCTAAAAAAACAAAAAAGCACTGAAAACATGTAATGCTCTGAAAGCGTTGAACTTTATGTAATTTTCTTCCTTTTTTTTTCTCTGGCAGCTAATAATGTTAATTTGATAATGTGAATATGTAATACCTCATGTTCTTGTGGCATTGAATTAATAAAGCATTAAAAAAAAATCTCGTTTACACTGCTATAAATACAGAACTGCATGAACACAGAACTTAAAAAATATTGATTCTTAAAAAAATTGATTCTTTTGCAGTATAACTGTGAAATGGAAAATTATAATAAGACTAAATGAACAAATATTTCATTTGTGTAGCCTACTTAAATTCTCCGTTGGCATTGTTAATTGATATTTACGTGTATGGTTATATATGAAGATAAATATGAATATAAATTCTAGCCTAAATATTAAACAATAAATATTTATTAGGCTTTATTATAAATCAAAAAACGCTATTCTAAAAATTTCATATGAAACGTCTAGAAATTGAGGTCTCCACTAAACAACTCTTGTTCATAAGTGCCATAATGTTATTTCAAAATCTTGTATTGAAAATTCCATTTCATTTTCACTTTTGACATGGCTGCCATTAATTATGAATTTGATTTATTTGTATTTTCATTGGTATTCAAGTAAACAAGCATATTACAAGCATATTAGTTTTGTTGCAAATATAGAAAATAATATAAACACTGCTTTGTATTATTTGAAAATAAAACCAGTTCTATGAGAATATCTGGACAAAAATATACATTTGCATCTTATTCAGTAGGGAATCAAAATAATAATAATAATAATAATAATAATAATAATAATAATAATAATAATAATAATAATAAAAACACAGATTCAGAATTCCTCAAAATGAATACAAATAACGCAACTCAGAATGACGCAAACCTGCAATAATTAAATGTTAAACAACACAAATATCCTTTATGTATTTAATCCAATTCTATTAACCAATGTCTTAGCTTCTGACCTTCGATGATCCAGTTTAACCCTACTAATAAGCAAAAATTACTCTAGACAAACGTGTGTGTTTTTTTTATTGCTGAAGTGTGTTGAAATGTCTTCTTCTGCATTAATAATAATAATAATAACACCAAATCACAAGTTACTTTTATTTTGAAATCGCTACCGGATGTTCAGAACTTTGCTACTGGCTGCAGCGCTTTACGTGGAGACTGCGGGAAAGATCAGCAGGCATGGCGGGGCGCGGGAAAAGAAAACCCAGGTCTTCGCCGCAGGTACATCATTAAATCCTCATCAATGCGTGGCCAGCCATAGTAAAGTTTTCAGTTAACCTATTACGTCGAGTATTTACTGAGAGGTTATGTGCTGCTCGTTTGAGAATGATAGTGGCTCGTATGCCTTCAGCATCCACTACACTTCAGTTGTTTTGTTTGTACATTCAACCTGTATAATCACTGCTTTTGAATATTATGTCAATAATCACCATGCAAATGTCTGTTCGTGTCTTCAGTGTTCAGTGTACAGTGTTTGTTTTACCCAAAATGTTGTGTCAGTATCAGAACATTGTATCAGGTGCAAAACCTTCATCTGACATCAGTTAGACATTAGTTTACTGTGACAGTTTATAGGTGTGTCTTGGATTGTAATGACCATTAGAAATATTAATCTGCATTGCACACCTGTTTCCTTACCTCAACTGTACTGAACATAACTGGTTTCTTTACAAAATTGAAGTGTTTCTTCCTTATTACAATTATTAGGTTTAGACTAAAACGTTTAATGTTTGTGTGTAAATGAAGAAGATAATTATTTCAGTCTATTTGGTGCTAACATGAAGAAAAAGCTGGTTTCTGTTTGCATTATTTTATTACTTAAAATATTATTTCTTCTAGTGTAACTTATTCAAACGTATTATTGCCTGTTCCAGACAGAAACACCAAACGGGGAGGTGAAAAAAGCGAAAGAAGGCCAGAGGGATGAGAAGACAGCTGGAATGCGAGAAGAAGTGGAAAAATTGTACAAGCTACGCATGCCTGATGATTTTTTCCAGTTTTGGGAATTTTGCAAGGGTCTCAGTGCTGACTGTCCTCAAGGTATCCGTCTTATATTGATGGTTCCATATAGTGTACAGTGTTTGTTTTACCCAAAATGTTGTGTCAGTATCAGAACATTGTATCAGGTGCAAAACCTTCATCTGACATCAGTTAGACATTAGTTTACTGTGACAGTTTATAGGTGTGTCTTGGATTGTAATGACCATTAGAAATATTAATCTGCATTGCACACCTGTTTCCTTACCTCAACTGTACTGAACATAACTGGTTTCTTTACAAAATTGAAGTGTTTCTTCCTTATTACAATTATTAGGTTTAGACTAAAACGTTTAATGTTTGTGTGTAAATGAAGAAGAGAATTATTTCAGTCTATTTGCTGCTAACATGAAGAAAAAGCTGGTTTCTGTTTGCATTATTTTATTACTTAAAATATTATTTCTTCCAGTGTAACTTATTCAAACGTATTATTGCCTGTTCCAGACAGAAACACCAAACGGGGAGGTGAAAAAAGCGAAAGAAGGCCAGAGGGATGAGAAGACAGCTGGAATGCGAGAAGAAGTGGAAAAATTGTACAAGCTACGCATGCCTGATGATTTTTTCCAGTTTTGGGAATTTTGCAAGGGTCTCAGTGCTGACTGTCCTCAAGGTATCCGTCTTATATTGATGGTTCCATATCCATACCAGCACTATTCACATGTATTTCTTATTTTTTCCACTATTATCATAAGCATTTTCAACGTATTATAAATATTTTAAAACGAATATATGTCTTGTTACATGGAATTTTTGCATGTGTTTTTGTGTGCTTTACAGATGCCCTAAAAGAAACACTTGGGCTTCGGCTAGTTGGCCCGTTTGATATCCTGTCCAAAAATCACAAAAACTCATCTTCCTCTCAACCCAACTTTCACCTTCATTGGCGTTATTTCTATGATCCCCCAGAGTTCCAGACCATCATACAGGGCAATGTAGACACCCAGCACCACATGGGCTACTTCAGGTGACTGTTTACCTGTGAACGACATTTATTTTTGTAATTGGATGATAAAAAAAAAAAAGTTGCAAGGATGATTGCAATAGCTATTTTTGGCACATCCAACTGCAACACAAGAAATTCATGGTTCTTTAAAAAAAAAAGTGTTTTCTAAAATGATTAGGTGTTTCAGTGTGATTTACTCACTGTACATGTCTCCCTGTACAGAGATTTACCTGATGCTTTGCCTGTGTTCATTGGGGAGAATGAAGCCAAGAAGGGCTGTACCATCACACAGATGGGGGACAACATCTTTGCAGCTGTTCTGTGAGTGTCTTCCATAAATAATACAAGTATAAATGAAAATGTGTATACAGGTACATCTAAAAAAAATTAGAATATCATGAAAAAGGTCAATATTTTTGGTCACTCATTTCAGAAAGTGAAACCCATATATTATATAGATTCATTACACAGAGTGAAATATTTCAAGCCTTTATTTCTTGAAATTTTGATGATTATGGCTTGCAGATAATGAAAACCCAAAATTCAGTGTCTCAGAAAATTAGAATATCACGTAAGATCAATTTAAAAAAGGATATTTTAAACAGAAATGCCAGGTTTCTGAAAAGTATGTTCATTTCTATGCACTCAATACTTGGTTGGGCCTCCTTTTGCATGAATTACTGCATCAGTGCGGCGTGGCATGGAGGCAATCAGCCTGTGGCACTGCTCAGGTGTAATCTGGGACCTTGATTTCCAAATGAAATGCAAAATTTACTTTCATCTGAAAAGAGGACTTCGGACCATTGAGCAACAGTCCAGTTCTTTTTCTCCACAGCCCAGGTAAGACACTTCTGACGTTGTCTGTGGCTTGACACGAGGAATGTGACATTTGTAACCCATGTCTAGGATTCGTCTGTGCGTAGTGGCTCTTGATGCGCTGACGCCAGCCTTTAGTCCACTACATGTGAAGCTCCCTCAAATTCTTGAATGGATTTTGCCTGACAATCCTCAAGGCTGCGGTTATCCCTTTTGCTGGTGCACCTTTTCCTACCACACTTTTTCCTTCCACTCAACTTTCTATAAATATGCTTGGATACAGCACTCTGTGAACAACCAGCTTCTTTAGCAATTAACTTTTGTGGCTTACCCTCCTTGTGGAGGGTGTCAGGGACTGTCTTCTGGACATCTGTCAAGTCAGCAGTCTTCC